CAACCCACATTGCACGGGTCTGGAGTCACATGTATGCCAGACCAGGTCAGGATGGCAGTTTCCTTCCCTACAGGACATTAGTGAACCAGATGGGTTTTTCTAACAATCAACAATTGATTCATGGTCATCGTTAGGACCCCTAAATTCAGACTTTTTTGAATTCAGATTTCACCATATGGCATTTGAACTCGGATGCCCAAAACATTACCTGGGTCTCTGGATCAATAGTCCAGCAATAATACCGCTAGGCCATCACCTCCCCTCTAATCTGGATTGCAATTTGGGAAATTGTGAGGTTGCCCACTTTAGCAGGAGAAATAGAAATGCAATATGTTATTTAAAGGGAAACAATCTGCACAGTCCTGCTGTACGTAGGGTTTTGGATAACCTTGTACATGAATCACAAAGAGTTAACATGCAGGTACAGTAAGTTATTAAGTAGACAATTGAATTGTTGACCTTTATTTCAAGAGAATTAGATTGTAAAAGTAGGAAAGTCTTGCTACAACTACACAGGGCATTGTGAGATGACAGCTGGAAGAATGTGTACAGTTTGCATTTCTTTATAATGGTGAACATTCTTCCAATGGAAGTATTCAGAGAGGTTCACTAAGCTGATTCTTGATATAAAGTGATTGTCTTATGAGGAATGGTTGAGCAGTTTGGGCCTATTCTCTTGGAGTTTAAAAGACTAAAACATGATCTTATTCAAATGTAGAATTCTAAGGGGTTGGTTGAGTAGGTGTTGAGAAGATGTAAACCCCCCATGAGACAATCCAGAACTGGAGTACACAACTTAAACATAATGGGTCTCCCATTTAAGTTGGAGGAATTTCTTCTCTCAAAGCAAAGTAAGTCTTTAGAATTGTCTTTTCAACAGGGAATAAATTTTTTGTATATATTCAAGACTGAACTAAAAGGAGTTTTGATCTACAAGAGAGTCATGGGACTTTGGTGACAGGCACTTAAGTGGAGTTAAGATCACAATAATCATATCAGTCATGATATTTTTGAATGGCACAATATTCTAAAGGGGCCAATTGGCCTGCTCCTGTACCTATTTCCTATAATCTTCTGATTGTTATGGTAATAATCAGAGAACTTTGAAAATATACTTCTTGGTAGGATGAACAAGAAACGTACAAATTAAAGCGTACAGCTCCAATGTAGTTGGAGGAACAGAGCAACCTGAAGGTATGAATGTGCACAAATTATTGAAGGTGGCAGTGTAGGATGAGAAAGTGATTTCTAAGGCAGGTGGGGACCTGGACTCTAACAACAGTGATAAAATGCAAACACAAAGAAGGTATAATGAAGTGAATTAGTTAGTGAGTGGGTAAAATTCCGACAAATGGAGTATGTTGTCCATTTTGGCAGAAAGGATTTTTAAAAAAAACATATTATCTAAATGGTGAGACTGCAGAGCCCTGAGATGCAGAGGAACCCGGGTTTCCTGTTCTAGGAAGCGCACAATGTTGGTGGTACACCAAACACTTAAGAAAGATTTTTTTTCTTGTGAGAGGAATTGTGAGGGCTTCACTGGAGTTTAGAAGAGTAAGAGTGAACTTAACTGAAGCATGTAACTTACTGAGGGATCTTGGCGTGCAGTGTGCTGAAAGGATGGTCGCACATGTGGGAGAAACTAGAAGTGGGCATCATTGTTTATAAATATGGAACTGTCCTACCAAGACATGAGGAGATTCTTGGTAAACAAGGAGGTGAAATATCATCAGTAATAAGCAGGAATTTAGGGTAATCAGATCAGCCATGGCATTATTGAATGCCAGAGCAGTTTTATGGCATTACTGAATGGGAGAGCAATTTTGAGGAGCAAAGTGACCAGCTACTACTCCTAATTTGAATATTTGTATGCACAAATCTATATAAAACTCTGATTTTGTTTGAACTGGAGAATTATGTCCAATTCTATGCATCGCATTTTTGGAAGGATGTGAACACTTTGGAGATGCTGTGAAAGGTTTACAAGAATGGTATCAGAGATCAGGGAATTCAATTGCATACAAATATTGGAGAAGCTTGGATTGTTCTCCTTAGAGAAGAAAATGTTGAAAAAAATTGACAAAAGTGTTCAAAATCATCTGGCGTCCGAGCAGGGTAAATAGAGAGAGACTGTTTCCATCAGTGGAAGGCTTGAGAACAAGAGAGGACTGGTTTAGGCTGAATAGCAAAGAGCCAATAACAACATGAGGAAAACCCTGGTGATGCAGCTAGTGGTTCTGATCTTGAATGTATTAACTGAGACTGTGAGGGAAGCAGATCCATACAGTAACTTTGAAAGAGAATTGGACAATTACCTAAAGAGAAGACTTTGCATGATTCTGGAGGAAAGGCGAGAGAGTGGAACTGGCTGAGTTATCTTACAAAGAGCCACACGAACACAACAGACCAAATAATCCTTCTTAAATAACAAGGTGTAGAGCTGGATGAACACAGCAGGCCAAGCAGCATCAGAGGAGCAGGAAG